TCCATCACCGTAACCACAAAAATAGGCACAATACTCAGCTTCATTTCTACAAAAATTCAAGCTTAATATGCAAGAGTCGAATCATTTATATCAACACCTGTTTCAACCCATATAAAAATTTCTTGAACTTACAAACTTATTTTTTTACCTTCCTCAATAAAATCTTCAGGTTGGATCATAATAAGTTACCATACAAAAATGAAGTTTTAACATCTAATTGTTCCAAGTCTAAATTAAGAACGATAGCTACAACCAAAACAACTCTAATAGTGGACATGCACACAACAGAAAGAAAATTATACCAAAATTGATACCTAATTTCTGAGCATAATCTTTCACAACCAATTGAGCTTTGTACCTTTTAACAACATATTCTTAAAGACCCACCTACTACCAGTTACCGTTCGTGCTTCTGGTAATTTGACACAGTCTCAAGTTTTACTTTTCCATAGGGCCTCCTTATCTTCTTCCATGGATAAAATCCATTGATTACCTTCTTCGACCTCATATCCCTCATGATAAGAAACTGACTCACCCTCCTTTGTTTGGCAAGCATAGGACAAGAAATAGTCGTTAAGCCCCACATGAGTGTTTTTAAGACTATTAGATCTTCTTAATTCAATACCACTTAAATATTCTCTAAAATTTTTGATAGTTTCAGGTTCTCAGTCCAGACCACTATCTCGCTGGGTCTCATGGGTGCATTCCACATCAATAGCTTTTACATCTGGCTCATCGTGCTTTTTCTGCATGGGTTTTTTATTGAAAACAATATCTTGGCTAATTATAATCTTGTGGTAAGTAGGATCGCACAATGTATGCACCTTTGTACCATCTGCAAAAATCCAAGAAAATTCGTTTTATGGATTTTGCATCCAACTTAGTTCTGTTCTCCTTTAAAATCAAAGAATGTGTATCATAGCAAAAAACACATAGGAAAGAATAATCAACTGATTCACGTATCCAAATCTCTTATGGTATCTTGTAGTCAATAGTAGAACTGAGATGCCTACTAATTAGAAAACAAGTTGTATGAACTACTTCTGCTCAAAAACACTACTCTAACCTGGCATCACTTAACACACACTTGGCACGCTCCATAATAGTATGATTCATCCTCTTAACAACACCATTTTGTTGATGTATTCCAAGAACTGTTACGTTCCTAGCAATATCATGCTCACTACATCAGTTCTTAGACACTTGATGCTCTTAATTTTCTGATTTTCTACCAATGCCTTAAACTTTTTGAAAGAACAACATGCATTTAATTTCCTTTTCAAGATATAAACCCATATTTTTTTTAAAAATCATCAATAAAAGTGAAAAAGTGTGTTGTACCCCTCATAGAAACAACATATGATTTCCATGTGTCCAAATGAATCAATTATAAAAGATCATTACTTTTAGAGATGGATAAAGAAAAGTGGACTTTATTATACTTTCCAAAATAAACAAGAATTCTAAAAATCTAAACTAAAATATTTTAAACTAGGGAGGAGGTTTTTTATCGAGAAGTACATTGAGTCTATACTCACTTGTGTGACCCAAACACGTATTTCATGTCATGAAAGAGTCCACCTCTACAATATCGGTATCTCCCAAAACTGTTTCTTCAACAAGTTTGTACAAATTGCTTGTTGACTCTCCTTTTGCAACAAATAGTTCTCCCTTTGAAATTTTTAGAAATCTATTTTCACATGTAAATATGAAACATTGCTCCTCAAACTTTGTCAAAGACAAGAGACTACTTTTGAGACCTGGAACGTGTTTAACACCACCCAGGATTGTGCATATGCCCAATGAACATCTTGATTCTTACATCTCCAACTCCTACTATTTTATATGAATCATTATTTCTCATGTAAACAATACATCTATCACATGGTTGGTACTTATAGAGCCAATCCCTATGTGAAGTCACGTGAAAGGATGTACCTGAATAAAGTAGCCAATACTACAAAAAATTTTCCTTATCCACAAGCATAACTTTTCCATATGTAGAATACTCAATTATTCTACGAAATTTCCTTGAGACTGATATGAATTAGGCTTCTCATTAGAATCAGATTTAGGGGGGCTTCCAGGTTTTTTTTTTTTGTGTCTTACAATCTTTCTTCACATGACCTAATTTTTACAGCTCCGACACTTCATTTTCTTACGCCCTCTTGATTTGGATTTTGACTGATCTCTTCATGTAGCTTTATCTATTGATTTATCTCATGATACAAATACATTCCCAGATGAATCCTTATCAAACTTTCTCCTAGACTTCTCCGTCATAGTTGCTGAAACAAATGAATCAAATTCAAGAGATTTCACACTATTGAGAGTCATGAGCAATCCATGCATGATTCTGGCATAGAACAAAGTAACATAGTTGCTTTATCTTCTTCATTAATTTTTACATCTAGTGATATCATCTTGGTAATCAAGGCATTTAACTCATTTAGGTGCTCTTGCAAAGATGCACCATTACTCATCTTGAATTGTAAATTAACTGATGACGAAAATTTTTATTAAAAAGTGACTTACCTTCATAAATATTTTTTAGCATGTCCCATAAATCTTTCATGGTAGTTTTTTGAGGAGATATTGACTAGAAGGAACTCATTAAGCGCCAAACAGATATCTACCCTAGCCATCATCCTTCTCATCAAATTCCTCATCATCTTTTAAAGCCACTATGCAACCATCTTTCACCAACATCATATGCATCTTTAATTTCTAGGTTGAGAAATTCAAATCGTCAAAATTTGAAATTCATATTTAGTTGAACTTCCTCAAGCCATATTTAATGATATGCAATCTTCCACAAACCTTGTGCTCAACAAGGATCTTAAACCCTAAATATATGAAACCAATTGTAGAGGATTAAAACAAGGTTTGGAAAAAATAAATAGAAAGCAAAATAATACAGAAAAATAAAAGAAGAGAAACACAAAGATTTACGTAGTTTGACAATTGCCTACGTCTATGGGGCAACAACATTCTCTTCTACTAATAAAAAAACATCATGCGCGTTTGCATAATACAAATGATTATAAGCTTTCTATCAATCCCTAAAAACACCTACCCCAAGGACTACAAAAAAACTAGTCATTTTCTCAATTTTTCCTTGCATCTCATATCTTCTCTCTGCAAAAAATAACTTTTATAAAGAATAACCACAAAGACCACCAACATGAAAGCCGCGATAGACTTTCCTATCCAATAGGATTTAGATTCCACAAAATACGAGAAACACGTGACCTCAAAAACCAATAGCATATCGCATCCCATTTTCATCCTACAAAATACGAAAGTTCCTATTCCATGGAAATATGGAGTCTTGCATAACAAACACAAGCATCATGATGTTTTTAATAGATTGGGAGTATGTGAGGAAGGAATTTTGGGAAATATCAAAGGTGGATGTCTCGTATAAAATCAAAGAGGTCAATGAGATGAGAGATGCAAGTATGGTGGGCATTACCAATGGAAACCACATGTGAGAGGTTATATTAAAATAAACTTTGATGAGAGTTCACAAGCAAATCCAAGATAGGGTGGTGTAGATATTCAGAATGATAATAGGAATAGTTTATTATCCTATTTTGATCGTTTAGGAGTAGTTGCCGCAAATGGGGCAAAAGTTATATCTCTGGTGTGGGGGCTAAAACCAATTAATGAAATGCATAGATGAATTACGAGGGAAGGGGATCCATTGAACTATATCAAATGGTTTAAGGGAGAATTGAGTGTCATGGGCATTGAAATCAATGATTAAGGAAAGGACACGGTTTTTATGCGCCTAGCCTCAACACTGTCGAAATGTGGGCTTAACAATAAATATATTTTTTAAATATAATTTGATCTTAATTTTTAGAGAATATATAATATTTAACATGGAGATCATGAATATGAAAAACAAAAAACAATTTGAAAAATATAAATAATATTTATATTAAGAAAGCATTTGGATCGTTAGGTATAATTGTTTTTAGATGGACCATCAATTTCATCCATCTTTAAGATGAATGTTTTATACCTCTGGACTGCATATTGTAGAAATGCGGTCCAGCCCAACACTCAATTTATTCATCATGTATAGAGGAGTTCTAGTTAACATAGGACTTTCAGCTAATACTTCAACTGTAAAACAATTTATTCATCATGTATAGAGGAGTTCTAGTTAACATATGACTTTCAGCTAATACTTCAACTGTAAAACATAAAGTTTACATGAGGTATCAACAAGTCACAACCACCGGAAAAGGTCAATTGGACGCTATAAGACCTTCCAATTGATCATCTGTCTCTCAAGATGTTTGAAATACATATATTTTTTAAAAATAAAAACTTTAGTCCTATAGTACATCTGGTAACACATTATCCATTACTATTTCATTTTTAATATTTTAAGTGTTTATAGATATGTTTGATTTGCACTATTTCCATGCTTAGAATTCCATAAATAAGGGTCGAAATAGATTATAAGGTGTCATAAGGGTTGGGCACCAGATTTACATTTTCCGAGATACGGAGCTTCACCATTGATTGTTTAAGGCAGACCACGTGTATAGCCCACAACCAATTGTAAATCAATATTAAGCTAAAAGATATTCTACTCCCTTGGAATTATATTGTCTATATACTCCATCAGGTAAAACACTACCTATGCTTAATTTTATATTCATACAATTTATATAAACAAAATTAAAAATAAAATACTTTGGGACGTCGGATTTAAGATCAAATGGAGAGTGGCTCAAAAATAAAATACTTTGAGACGTTGGATTTCATCTTCTAATTTCCTTATGTGGATTTACAAAAACATAAAAAGTTAAAATAAATAAAAAAACATAGACAAACATTACAATTCAACCTTGAGCGGTACAAAGGTTGAGGCCTCTTATAAACCTAACTCAATCAAAACCTTTTGCATCCTGAAAACTCAAAATGAGAATATGTTACATTGATTATCCAAAAATAAGACGAAAAATGTCTAATCCCATGTCTTAAGCCTTCATAATATCAAAAGGGCGCGATTTGGGAGCAACAATCTTCAAGCTTATCTCGTCCAACCCCTGCAAGACCAACACATTAAAAACTTGTGAAAAGATTCTTTGTTCCCACAGGAGAATGGCATCCATTTGTGACCTCATGAAAAACCCAAAGATAAAGTATATGTAGGATCTCAATATCTTTTTTTTAAAAAAAGAAAAATGTTAATGCACTTGCAACCTTAGTAGGAGTATTATTTAGATGTTGGCACCCTGCTCCTTGACCACGTAGACCTACAGGGTACTCCCTTAAAACTTAACCAGGCTATGTGAGTAGCTGGAAACTTCAAAATATTGACTAGCGACCGTCCAAACTTTGGACGGTTACGGCTAATGGTTTAAAACCTCGAAAACCACCTCCTTTTAAATAAATTATTTCGTGATTCTTAAGTTGATCTCAAATTTTGAATAAACAAAAACAAATCTTCGAGCATCTCCTTGTATCAAAAGTAAACGGTCTTATTTTATACTCTTGGATGTGAAACCAGTTGGTTGGGCATGTGTCATTAATTTGGTACAAAGTCCAAAATAGAACTTCTTGAAGGTTGTAACACAATTCAATATGCCAGATTTCAGATTCAATGGTTGAGGATGATTGTGAGCTCTTTGTATCAAAATTGAACATGTTTCATGGTATGCATGGTGTTTCTTTAATTATGGGTATGTTGGAATTTGAACTCCAAACCTTGCCTTTCTTCTAGTAAAGAAAAATTGAGGGCCAGATAGAGAGAGACTCACCATTCCAGACTTGCAGTGCTTATAAGCATTCTCCATCACATCATAGACATTGTTAATATCAGGGCGGCCATCACTTGACTGAGCAACACAGAGAACTGCGACATACAATATAGACCGGAAGTGTTCCTCATCGTACTTTCCATTCAACTTTGGATCTACAAGATCAGACAAGGGTCGGATTCCTGAATTCACATCCTTTGCCTGAAAGATGATCCACCAAATGATAAATATTTGCTCATAGACACACAGGCACGTGCGCATAGAGAGAGAGAGAGAGAGAGAGAGAGAGAGAGATGAATCTTGTGGCACTACCGTTCTAGCCAGCGTATCTCGAGCCAACACGTCAAGCTCAATGACTCTCCTTCCTGAAAGAATTTGCAGAATAACAATGCCAAAGCTATATATATCACTGGCTAATGTGAGTGTAGCATTGCTAGCATACTCAGGATCCATGTACCCGATTGTGCCTTTCACCTCTGTAAACACCTTACTCTGCTCCATCCCCAACATTTTTGCTAATCCGAAATCTGAAAGTTTTGCCTCAAAATTTTCACCCAGCAAAATATTAGTTAGCTTGATATCCCTATGAACAATGCACCCGTCTGGATAATTATGAAGAAATCTGAGAGCCAAAGCACAATCTCTCAGTATGGTTAGCCTTCTCTCCCAAGAAAGAAATGTCTCATTTCCTGAAAAAACAAAGCACATATAGCATCTCCCAATGGGAATTTTGATGCATTTCATTTGAAACAGTAGAAAATAAAACTATGCTCTCATACCATTTGTTAGAATTTAGAAAGCAGCGATGTACATCTTGATTTGGAACTACCCAGGTTCAACGATATTCTAATTGGATAGTGAAAGCCTAACCATATTGGTCAATGGCAATGCAAAAAACTAATAGATAACAACATAATAAGATCAAACACAAAGGAAAGTAAAATTGAAAATAAAAGCATTAAAAAAGCCTAAACTTTACATGGTTCATCACATATGTCACTATTCCACAAAGCAACGAGAATAAGTGATTTTACTATAGCAACTCTTAAAAGGACAATACCTCTCTTAAAAAAGCACATTCTCTCTCTCTCAAAAAAAAACACACCTCTTTATAACCAAAATACCCCTATAGGCCACGGAAGTTCTCAAACCAATGATACCTATCCTTAACCACCCACAAAGGCCCATTGGCCCTACTATGCCCCAACTAGATGCCGGTCCCCCGGACTCTGCCTATTAGGGCTAGAGAGTAGGGAAGATCAAGTCTAATATAAAATAGTTATTATAGGTTATCCTTATAAATCAGGGCATGGCAACACAGAACAAATATCAGAGCAAGTTTTTTTTTTCTTAATAACGAGCATTTGGGAAATATCCAATTCTCTTGATAATCATATTTAAGCTATTCTTGACATGGTACCAGAGCAAGATTCAATTGTCTAATGAGCATTAGTCCGATTCTACGAGTGGGGTTTGGAAAAAGTCCAATTTATATAAACTAATATTACATAATGTGAAATATTATGTAATTGTCTAGCAAGGTCTAACTACTACCAACAAGTGGTATCAGAGTTAATATTGTACTACAGTTCAACACCCTAACAAAAAAAATCATCATATTTAATTGAAAAGAAGAATGCTTTACTTCGGAGTTGGTAAGAGAGGTTCCCGTTAGGGCAATATTCATAGACTAAGTATTGCTGTTGATCTTCCTCACAGCAACCAAAGAGGCAGACGAGATTGGGGTGACGTATCCTCGAGAGGCCATGAACTTCTGCATAGAACGAGTCTGCAGTGCTGCGACGCTGTATGTGTTTAATGGCCACTACTTGGCCACTTGGAAGGACACCCTTGTACACTATGCCTGCGCTTCCATAGCCAAGGCACACCCTTGGGTTGATGGAGTTCATGGCATTTTCAATCTCCTCTTTCGAGAATCTGTAGAGCCCCGACCAGGTGCTCACCTCTTTTATGGACATAGATGGCAGTGCTGTGAGAAAGAGAGAGTCAATAAGCATTTCTTAGGACCCAAGCAGAGGGCGAGAGGGAGAAATTTGATGTGTTTGTATCTGTCAGAGCGAGGAGAGAAGCATTTCGATCCTTCTCTGTCTCTGTGTGTATGTGTGTGTGTGGGAGAGAGTGTTTATGGGAACCCAATCATAGTAGCATAAGTGAGAGAGCTAGGAGAGAAGCACCTTGGAGAGATTTTGTGTCCTTCTCCTTCTTGTTTTGCACTAGTCTTATGAGCAAGACAATCAGGAGTAGTGCAGTGAACGCCATGACTAGGGTCAATACCATGCTCCACACCAGATCTGGGGTTCTCTCACAATTAGTTAATTGAGAGAGAGAGAAATGTGAGAGAGAAAGAGTGTGGTTGTGATGTAGTCGAGATGATCGTGCTCATCTCGACTGCATCAGGTTGTATAAGAAATCCTATGGTTTTAGTGAACTCACATTTGTTCTTTGGGGCATCTGTCCAATGAGAAACCGACGATCAGGTTCATGCAATCAACCACAAAAATGCATAAGAATAGCATTGGTTAAAGGAAAACGTTTATATATGGTTGCAACCTTAAAATGTAGAATTAAGATGCACCTCAAAAATCCATCATAAAAGGTTGTTTTGATGTTTGAAAATCTTCTAATTGATCATCTCGATATGGAGATGTATGAATATAAAACAAGAAACAATTTGACTCCTTAAAATAATGTATCGTGCAATATATTATCTAGACCGTCTGTTTTCAAGATTTTCATGTGTTTGTCAATCTATTTGATTTGAAACATTTTTAGAGTTTAAAATTTTATTATTAGATATGAAAATAAATTCTCAAGCCATCCTAAGAATTTTTTACATACATCTATGACATAATTTAGAAGTACATTTAATTGGATTGTTTAAGATTGCAACCTTATGCAAACCACACCGTTAGTTAAATCCATTATTAATGCAACATAAGTCAATCCATTGGTAAAAAGTAAGGGAAAATATCTCCATACCTCTTATTTTTTACACTTATTTCTCAAGAGACACGAGGATTTAAACTATTTCTGATGACATAAGTTCTCCATCTTTTCCATCTTCCAAGCCCTCATACCCCATGGACATATACAATTTGTGAAATGACTCCATCTCTTTCTCTCTAAACTCTATCTATCGCTCTCAAATCTCTCTCTCTCGCCCTTCTATCTCTCTCAAAACTATGTCTCTCATTCTCTCGCCCCTCTCTCTCTCTCAAATAACCAAAGTAAAGTTTGGGTTTCCCTTGCAAAACACGCATCCATCTCTTTTCTAGTACAAGTTTTGCAATGTTCCCTTATTAAACTCAAGCGTAGAGTTCGCAATAAAAGTAGGAGGAGATCTTGCAGCATTGTACCCACCATATGTCTCCAGTGAAAAGTTGGTGGTATTAATGGTGAGGAGAGAGATTTGGGTCACCATGGGCTTGAGCATTGCAAGTTGGGCATTATTTGTAGAGAGAAAACCTTCGATCAAGGTGAGAACTGTGTGGTACTATTGAAAATGAAAGAAGACCTCAAAGAGAAGGCGATACCAAATGTGTAGCCATGTAATTTCTGGATGCCAGTGTCTTGGCAAAGCTGGAACACATTGTTATTGTCATCAGCCATGATCACAATGGCCAGTACTGCAAGCACTGTGATTGCACTCTCTACCCTAAAGAAAAACCTTAGTTTTTTCGTTGCAAAGATTTTGGAAACTAAAAGCTCTCTAGACCATCGCAAATTGAAATTGAAGAGAGCTAATTCTAGGGTTTGTAAGTCAAATGGAGTTCTTCTCGAGACTTTGAGTAGGAAATTGTAGCCCTTGCTAGAATTTGTGGCCTCCTCTATGTTGAAATTGAGGAGAATCTTTGATGTTTTGAGAGAGAGAGAGAGAGGGGCAAGAGAGTGAGAGATAGAGTTTTAAGAGAGATAGAGGGAGGGGAGACAGAGATGGAGTTGAAAGAGAGGGGAGAGGGAGATATAGAGGGAGGGGAGACAGAGATGGAGTTGAAAGAGAGGGGAGAGGGAGATACGGGTTTTGAGAGAGATTGAGTCATTTCACAAATTGTTTAGGTCAATAATGTATAGTCAAAAGAGTTTAGGGGGTTGGAAGATAAAAAAGATTGAGACTTTATGCCGTCATAAATAGTTTAAATCCTTGGGTGTGGTGAAAAATGAGAGGTATATGATATTTTCCCTAAAAGTAATAAATAAAATCAATCCTATGATAGCATTTGGGTTACAAACAATATACTAACAACTTAAAAAATTGGTATAAATAATTGAGGTACGTCATTCTTGCCCTAAATATCCATCCTTAGACAATTGACAGGCTTGGGGTGGAGGAATAGTACATCTCAATTCTTAAAGAATCTGCTGACCTCCCATTGAATCCCAAATGTTGTATCATACTATAAGCGAAGGTGGAAGTGGATGGGGGGTTTTGTAATACTAATAATGATTTTAAAAATGGGAAACTTATACCCATCTCAATATCTCACATGAGAAGATATCACTTAGTATATGAGATTTTTTTTATTTTTTTTTCAAGAAACCTTTTTTTTTTTTGGTAATAAAAAAAAGGTAAATCAGTGGAGATTTGGACTCCTACCAATTTCTCTCTCTTCACATCCCATAATAGAAGTATGGGAAATGTATCAAATTACCCATCAGAGATGAACAATTTAACCCCTTAAACACATGTTTTATTTAATTTCAAAATATTAAAAATAATACATGATATTAGTAGGGAATAGTTGCAAATGAGTAAAATGTTAAATAGGTCATGTTTCATGAGTAATTTGATCAATTTCCTTATAAGTACTTTCAAAAACAATATCTCAAGAATACTATCCTAACATCTATTTGCTCAATAAGGCGTAAGAGGTATTAAGGAGCTTTTTTAAGTGATTCACCTAAGAATTATCAAATAATTATTCTAAAAAAATAAAATGGATTATAAGTTTTTTAAACACTTAGATCGAACTGTCCAAAAACTGAACAATCCTTGGTCAATAGACATTAACCTTTTCAGGCACTTAAAGATTCTGATTAAAAAAAAAGAAAAATTTATTTTTTAGGTTGATTAGTAGGTTCAAGAGGTTGCATGCGAATGCTCAAAATACCATTGGGTTGGGTTTTACATGAAGAAAAATGAGAAAATGGTCCTGCAGGAGCAAGAAATCTTTTCAGCTTACTGAATCGAATCCGAAGTCATTTTGAAGTGCTAAAGTTTTCAAATGATATTGGTGTTTCCATACACTATTATCTTAATAAATATTGGGAAAAGTTTATATAGAGCGGAGGATCTAAACAATCAAATCTGAGCCTACAGCGGAACTTTCACTAGAAGATGTTTTGATGCTCAAATATCCTCAAATTGATCATCTCGATATCAAGATATATAGGCATGAGAAAAAAATGGATTTCAAGTTTGAAAAATAGTGTATTTTGTAACGTATTTTTGGACTGTCAATTTTCAAGATTTTCAAGTTTCCATAGATATGTTGAACTACACTATTTTTTAAGCTTTAAACCTTATAAATAAAGTTGAAAATATATTTTAGGGCTATCACAAAGATTTTCGGCATTGAAACTGCATTTCTCATCACTATTTGAAGGTAGGCTCTAATTTGATTGTTGAGAGCCTAGGCTCTATACAAACCGCACCCATAAATATTTTACCTTTTTTGGATACTATTATCTCATAAGGTATTTAGAAAGAGGTATTTGTATTCTTAAATATCAATATGTCCCACATATTCCGGAAGCCGCTTTGAAAGGAGGCACAAAATTGGAAGTTGCCCCTTCATCTATTTATGACCCCTAATGATGTGTACTTGGTACCTTGATAGGTTTTCTAGAAGTCCAAGCGAATTGTCAAAACAGTGTATCCTTGGTGTAGTTGATAAATTCCCATTCTGGGAAAAAGTATATGAGTTGTGATAATGGAATGCATATTATGGTCCATTGGACCATAGAAAATTTATAGTCATTTGGATTGTATGGTGACTGCAGTAGAGAACCTACGAGAACTTTATATGAAGAACCACCATCCGTCTATCGATTTGAACGGTGCTAGACACTTATGACCACATTGGTCACATGAATCGTATAGTATCGGGCCTGGGCCACGTTGACCCCGGCCCTAGTCTAGCCATAGTCTCTATAGGTTAGTGGAAGCCCTGACCAAACTAGACCAAATCGGAAAGACCCTAGCCCAAGCCTAACCTTAGCCCAGAAAGGCCAAATAGACGGAAAAAAAAGTTAGAAAAAGGGATAAAAAAGGACTGGGTCGTTGGCACTAGGTCCTGAATTTTTAAGGACGATTGGACTTAGGGGTGGCAATAGACTCGGGAACCAACCTGAATGAATCCAGGTATGAGTCCAAAAATTAGGTCTAGTAGGTCAGATCTAGGTCCAAATATTGGACGTAAATACTATTCAGGTCCTAATTATATAAAATATAATATTAATGTTTTTTTTATTTTTGGATCGGGTCCGGGTTCAATAACTTCTGGTCGAGGCCCAGCTAGACCCAGACCCGATTTGACCTGTTCCCACCCCTAACTGGGCTGTCAGGCCCATTGCCAGCCCTTCTTTCCTAGTTTCCTTGACAATAATAAATACAATAGAGAGAGAGAGAGAGGAGCTTCTCCTTAATCATTGAGGGCAGAGATTACATGTGGTATGCAATGCCGGAAGGCACTCGAAAAAGCTCCTAACCCAGGTGGCGTTCTTTATATTAGGTGTGGCAACTGCAATAACAAGCGCCGTGCTGCATATGCCAGTCTCATTACTCTCTACCTTCAAGGCTTTCATAAGTGCCTGTGTCGCATTTTTAAGACCATCGGTGCACACCCTGCAATCTTCTTCAAACGTATCAATCTCGATCCTGGAACAAATGCCATCAAATGGAGGAGTCTCCATGGCCTTAACACCTGAGACAGTGAGCTCAGAGCACTTGCCATGGCCTTGAGAGAGGGTTGAGAAGCCACAGTGATCAATATTGATGGATCCATTTTGTGGAAGAGATGAATTGCATTCCATCCATTCTAGGCTAGGCATGAAGATTTCGTTTGATTTATACGCCCGAAGAGCTAGGGCCTCAGTGAGGGTGGCCAAGCCATCGACGCAACAGGTGTTTGTCTGGATGGCTCCCCATGCTTTCACTCTCTCCGGGGAAGCCATGCAGCTGCCCGACGGCTCGTACGGGTATGCTGTGAAATTCAAGAGGCAGGCTGACGAAGAAGAAAGATGAATGATTCATCAGAAAGTTTCAGCAGTATTTCGACTAGTAATTGTGCTCTGTGATACATACAACTTAGATGATGGATGTCATCTCCCTCATCTGAATTTAAATATAGTTGGTGGGGATGAGTTGTTCTACCGCTCGAGCAGAAGAATGACTCATCTGCACCATTTTTATTGAATATGGACCATGGAAATGACATGTGTCAAACAA